CCTCTGAGGAGTCGTCCGTTTACGTGATCTAACAGTAGGTTTCCACATTTTTGAGGTTACTAAGACGGTGGTGCAGGGTGCGGAACAATGCTCACTGGAAGTCCCATGTAGTCCTCGAATAGACTTACTTATACTGTAATCTAACCCAAAACCCCATTCTAATCGTTAAGGCGTGCTGAAAATCCTAAGCCTTACAGCTACAACCAAGCCTTAAATCCCCCAAACCTAAGCTTACACCCTTTAAAGCCAAAGAACCCTGCACCCTAAACCCTAGCTAAACCCGAATCATCCCAAAGATACAGCGGAGGATGACCAACGGCGGGTTTTCGTCGCATTCAAGGCTCGGCAAGTCTACAACGTAACGGTGGAGGGTTGAAGAGTATGGCTCCTAAGGGTTTGGGGTTTTGGGTTTAGGACTTAGGGTTTAGGGCGTAGGGTTTAGGGTTTAGGGTTTGAGCTTCCGGGGTGGAGGGTTTAAGCTTAGGCCTGAATCGAAGGCTTCAGGCGGAAGGTCTGGAGGCTCATGCAGTTTGCAGGCATGAGGCTCCGAAGTGAAACTTCTTTCAACACCCTCAGCTCTCCACCTTACCCCCCACAAGCCTCTGTCCCGAAACGCAACGTCCCAAACGCTTCCCAACAAAACCTAAAATGAAGATGGCTTTCTTCCAATAGTTCAATAGAGATCTTGAATTCTGGACCCCGCGTTAAGACATTTTCATTAACGAACCATAAGGGGTTCTTGGTGCGGTGCCTGGTTCAAGGGATATTGGATTCATTGCGCTCCCAGCCGACGTCTCTGTGAGGAGGGGAAACGCCTTCTGCGCGGTCTCACGAAGCTTACGGATCCAGAAGTCTGCCGCTGGGGCCAAGAGGGTTTGAAGGTAAAGGTCTAGGATTAAGTGTGCTTGGGTGGAGCAGGGTTAAGTTTGCTTGGGTTGAGCAATGCGCCGGTGGAGCTCGAAAACACAGCCTCCAACCTCCAACTCTAACCATCTAGACTCTAGACCATCGCACATTTTTTGGTTTGGTGTGCACGCTTTGTATTCTGTCTGTGCAATACTGTTTTAGGGTTCAGGGTTTAGGCAGGGCTTAGGAAGGTAGCGAAGCTTGTATCACATGCCAAGGCAAGCACTTCCGGGACGAGGACCCGTCCTGTGCGGGTTCATAACCACTCGGCTTGGTGGGTCTGCAAAATTCCTCCTTGCTTGTAGGCGTTTGGGGCAATTTTGTGTTTTTCCCCTTCTGGGCAGAAGAGGATCTACTTTACGAGCATTTTCAGAGACGTTTCGGGGCCAACCTAGCCTAGCATGTCTCTATTCAAAGTTCTTTTCACGACTCTGTTCTTGGGGAAGACTGGTTTCGTCGTGATGTCTTAGGCCTTAAAGCGTTCACGATTTGGAGGGGCCTTGGAAGGGTTCGCCGGGCTTGAGAGTCTTTATGGATATGCCGCTGACGCCCATGGCCCGAAAAACGGCCCTGTAAACCTAAGCCCAACACCGTCGAACCCTAAACCCTAAACCCTAAACTCCCAAAGGTTAAGTCATGAAGCCCAGCGCTGGGCCCGACTGTGGGGTTGCATGGGCAGGGGATTGGGTGGATGTATGTAGTAGCATCCTCCAGCCCCACTCAGTGCAGTTGTCCCCCGATTCGATGAAAAAGGGACTGGAGTCACTGGAGTTTAGGCCAAGTGCAGAGAGAGAAGGAGACTGGGTGGTGATGAAGGGATACAGACTTGGGTCGACTGGACCTGACCTCCGCACGCTGAGCCTGACACGGGTGCAACGTGTCAGTGTGAGAGCCTTCGCCACAGCCCACACTCGAAGACGAGAAGAGGGAGAGAGAGAGAGAGAGAGCGAGAATGACATTTTTATATTCACCTCCGAAGTATGCATAAGCAATTTCAGCCATAATGGCCTGACAGTGAACAGAACGGAAGCAATCAATCTACGCTGGTATTAGTTTTTGGGTAGAGTTTGTCCGTCCTAAAACTCCAAACCCAACCCTAAACCTCAAACCCTAAACCCCAAGCCGTAACGCCCATGTAAAATTGAAGTCCTGCAGGACAAGCGCCTTGCCCGGGAGCTGCACGAGATCCTGCAAGAGCTTCTCAAGGACCGTTGAAGGTTTGCTATAAGGGTTTCGGGGCTTTTTGGTTCAGGGTTGAGGGCCTGTTTGTGTGGGGTTTAGGGTTTTAGTTTAGGGTTTATGGGGTTTGGCCTTAGGGTTTTAGATTCGGGTTTATAGGGTTTGGCAAAAGGAAGAAGTACAGCGGCTTTAATGGTTAGAACAGGGTTCCCCTACAGAGTTACTACCAGGAGATCTCATCGCAGTGGGCTTTTTGGGTTTGGTATGCAGCATTCGGTAGGCTGATTGAGTTTGATTTCCGTACCTCTCAGCCCTGCACCTTCATGCGAATTCAAGCAGAAGCCTCAAAGTGAATAAATACTCGTATGTTGCTTCTCTCTTTGTGTGCGTCGGGTACCACTCTGAATCTCCTATTTCCAGGAACTGGAAACCCAGCTGTCCATGCCGCACCTCGCCACGAGCGCACTTCTCGTTCCAGGGTTTTTTGGGGACCCGAATACACGCTTCTCTTCGGGTTTGGGATGTAGGTAGTTCTCTAAATCAGGGTTTCGTTTAGGGTCCTTTTTCTACGGGTGCCGTACTATACTTGGGACCTGAAACAGGGAACCTAATTTAGAGAACTACTCATGCAGGTTTCGGGCATGCAGAGCTCAGTATTCAGGGCTCGGTCTCAGGGTTCGGGCTTTGGGTTTAGGGTTCAGGGTTTTAGGGGGTTAGGGTTTAGGGGTTTAGGTTTAGGGGTTTAGGGGTTTAGGGGTTTAGTGTTTGGGGGTTTAAGGATCTAGGGTTTAGTGTTTAGGGTTCTTGCGCAAACCTCGAACCCTCAGCAAGAAACCAGGGACCCTAATCCTAAACACAAAAACCCCAAACCGTTTGCCTACGCCCCAAAAACCCTTGAACCTACAACTTGAACCCCAGGCCTTAAGCCGTAAAAAAACCGTACATGCTGTAGTTCGCAGTGTATTGTCTTGAGCCCTCCAAGCCCGAGTGGTGAAGCTGCCTACCCTACTTCCCAAAATCCAGGCCCTAGTGTAACTCCTGTTTAGGGTTTAGGGTCTGGGGGTTTAGGGTTTAGGGGTTTAGGGTTTAGGGTTTAGGGTTGTATTTTCGGCTAACCTGTCGTTGAAAGGCATTACGTCGACTTCACTTTGTCTGCACCCTCAGCAACCGAACTCCGAAGCCTTACACTATTGTGCCTGGAGCCCACTCCTGCCTTCGAGCCTGTACCCGGAACTTTAGGGGTTTAGGGTTTAGGGTTTAGGGTTTAGGGTTTAGGGCTTGTAGGGTTTAGGGTTTAGGGTTTAGGGTCCAAGCCTTTTACCCCAACCCCAGGCCATGTCTAACACTTCTCACACCGAATCCTACGATTCCCTGACCTGAACCCTTAAACCTTAAATCAGTAAGCAAAACCTGAAGCACTCCTCCCCGCTCAACCCTACATCTCATAAGTCCAGGACCTAACAACCAAAACCCCCCAAAACCCAAGCCCTAAGCCCTAAACCCTGAACCCCTAAGCCCAAAACCCCGAAGCACCTCAACCCAGAATCTCCAAAACCTGCAGCGTAAGGTGGAGCCGGCAAATGAGTCGATCGTCCGATGGAATGAGCAGCGTCCCGGCGGAAGACTTCTGTGTTGCGTCGCATTTTTCTCCCCTCAACCCCTAAACCTTAAACCGCCAAGCCCTAAACCCAAGCCCTAAATCTAAGCCTAAATCGAAACCCTAAACCTAAACCCTTAAACCCTTAAACCCCTAAAACTCGAAACCTCCTTAAACCCACACCGAAGTCCCCTAAACGCTTGAGGACAGACCTCGCCCTTCGGGTCGACCTGGCTTCAGAGCCGCCCGAGCTGGATTTCGGCGCAAGGGTTTAGGGTTGAGGGATTGAGGGCTTAGGGGTTATATAGGGGTTTCGGGGTTGGGGGTTTGGGGTTTAGGGCTTTGGGGTTTAGGGTTTAGGGGTAGGAGTCTAGGGTTTAGGGTTTAGGGCTTGGGGTTTAGGGTTTGGGGTTTAGGGTTTGGGGTGTAGGGGTTTGGGGTTTAAGTAGAGTTTGGGGGTTTAGGAATTCTCAAGGTGGGACGGATGATGGCAGCGGCCATCTTCTCCCGTATTGGATCGACTGTACCAGCGGCCTCATCGTTTGGCTACTCTGCAGCAGTGGCACTGCTCTCGCTTGGAAGCCCGAATGAGTACCAAGGCTATTCTTGAGTGTTCCTAACTATTATTGTACCTAGCTGTACGTACTATCGTGTAAACCAAAACACTGTTTTCATAATTAAGACACCGATATTGCCTTCCAACTCCCATGAATGTATCCATGGGTCCGGGCGTTTTCACGAACAGGATCCCAGCACTTGGGGCCCGGTACTGAAAGCCTGACATCTGCAACTTGTAGCCCGTTTTCAGGAAGTTTTCCAGCCTGCCCGGAGCTGTCCAGATGCACTCTCCAGATAAATTCTTGCATCTCCTTAAACCCTAAACCCTAAACCCGAAACCCTCTCAAATCAAGCCGAAGCCCGACTCGACATCCCGGCCACTATAATTGAAGACGCTGCGAAACCCTGCCTCCTCACTCCAACTTCTGGGAGGCCCTCCAAAGCATCTGTGTACCAATCCCGAACTGTTCCCAAACGCACCGGCCTGTGCATAAACACAGTTGCTGGGTTGGTTGCGTGTTTGCGGTTTTGGGGCCTCAGCCAGTATTACAAGCCAAAGTCTCGAGTGGAAGTTTCAGGAAGTGAGGGGCTTTCAGGTAGTCAACATCAGGCTTAAGTAATGTAGGGGCCTTACTAATTAGAATAGGGTTTGCGGGTTTCCTTATTATAGTTGCAGTATACTATACCCCAAACCCTATTCTAATTGTTAAGGAGCCTATACAAACTAGTGAGGGGAGGGCCCTCGGAATTGCCCGACCAGGTCGCGACCAGATGGGCACGTCTTGGACTTGGTCCGCATCCGGGACTGCACCTTTTCCTCTCCTGCTGCAGGGCCTTCGGGCCCACTTTTACTTACAAGACACCTTGCCCCATTCACCTATGGAACCATTTCGCCAACTCGGCGCCCAAATCTTAGCCCAAAAAATCCCGAAACCCATATCCCCAAAACCCCGTTATACCCATATGCCAAA